TAACCTGCACTGATGGGCTGAGTCAGTTCTTGAGCACTTAGTGGACCTAATCTATTTAAGATGTGGGTAACCGGGCCGGGCGCGGTGGCTCACGCCTGTAATCCTAGCTCTCTGGGAGGCCAAGGCGGGCGGATTGTTTGAGCTCAGGAGTTCGAGACCAGCCTCAGCAAGAGCGAGACCCCCATCTCTACTAAAAATAGAAAGAAATTAATCGGACAACTAAAAAAATATATAGAAAAAATTAGCTGGGCATGGTGGCGCATGCCTGTAGTCCCAGCTACTTGGGAGGCTGAGGCAGAAGGATCGCTTGAGCCCAGGAGTTTGAGGTTGCTGTGAGCTAGGCTGATGCCACAGTACTCTAGCCCAGCACTCTCAACTCTGTCTCAAAAACAAAATAATAAAATAAAAATAAAACTATCGACACAGATCTGTTGGTGTGTTTAACTCCTATCTGGGAACCTGCCAGCCAACCTTTTACTTACCGTATCTGCCAGAAGAGTATCTTCAAACTTCATTGCTTGCATACCTTTAAATAAAATTTGGGAGAGTATGCACACTTTCACATATGGTTAATTTGATAATTAACATTTATCAAAAGTGCAAATGAGATCATTTCCAGTGGTATATTGTAAACACTTTTAAATTAAAATAAAATTTTAAATTTTTTAAAAAATACTGTTATTCTTTTAAATGTAATAGAATCCAAATACCATAGCAATTTGATTCCCACCATTGTCAATATAATACATGAACAAGCTCTTCAGCAGTCAGACATTTAACATCAATCAATGGATCTTTATTTTTACTTTGCTTTCCTCACAGAATTATCATATATTTTAGTGCTTGAAGTATTTTATAATGTTTCTCTGTAACAAATATGAATATAAATTAAAATTTTAAAAAATTAATTTCCTATACCAAAAGGCTAGAGGTATTAAAAATAACTTTTTTTCTAAGCTAGTATAACTATTAGAACACAGTTGATAAAAACGTAACTTTTTATAGGTAACTATTAAATATAAAATATTTAAAATCTTCCTGGATTCTGATGCTTGCTAAAGTCTAAAAAAAAAAACTGAAAGAGAAAATTTTACTGAAAAAATTCACCTGAGACTAATTTGTAGTGTTTTGTTTTCTTTAGTTCATGTTTCCACGGATATATATTACTTATAACTAGAATGAGATAGCAGTCAACATAAATCCTATTCCTGTTTTTTTTATTTATAGATGAAATCACTGAGAAAACTTTTCACGTGAACAAGTAGGTAAGAATGGAGTTTTGTAATAATTCTGTCACTCAATGTCACTGCGTTCATTGAATTTTTTCTGAGTAATATGCCAAGAGTGAAATAAAGTTTAATGAATTATTGGCTGACAGCCTGATTAGGCTTTTCTTTAATTTTATTTAAAGGAAAGAACTGAAAACCAGTGATTGCAAAAAAGGATTTATTAGCCATTATTGGATTCTCTTTCTCAACATATTTCAAATAACCTCTCTGGACTCCAAAGGTTTGTTTCCCCGCTTCTCGACCTTGACCTTTGTAAAATTGGAGATAGATAGATAAGAATTAAATCTTTCTTTTGAAAAACGACATATGTGAAAGAGCAGGTGGCAAAAAAAACCAGTCTGAGACAGGTATATAAATGGGAAGATAAAATTTTAGAGACAGCACATGGGAAGTGAAGGAAATGAACATGGATTCACTTGAAATTCTCCATGCACAAGTACCTCTTTGAGAGTCTGGTGTGCACTATTGTGCCGAACTCTGGTTTAGATATGCTCAGGCTAAATACCATGTCTAGGATTTCAGAGTAAATGCAGTATCAATTAGTGTTTGTGCTTATAAATTAAGGTGCAGTCACTTGTGCACAAAAACTTGTGTTAAAACCTAACACAAAAAAAGTCTCCATCATAAAAGAATGATCAATGTAATTAAATTTAACTGAAAATTCTGTACAATTATAGTCACAGACCCTGTTAAAGACAAACCACAAACTAGAAGTCCTATAATAGATTAAAGCATTATGATCAGTAAGAATACAAGCAGTCCAGTAGAAAAATAGGCACAGATTATGAACAATAAATTTACAAAATAAAGACCAACAAATATATGAATGAAGCTAAGATTCTTAGAGATATATAAGTTAAAACAAAGAGCTACTACCTCACTGCTCTTAAACTGGAAAAGTTAAAAATTCTAATAAGACTAAGTGTTGGTGACAAGGTAGGAAAACCAGAATTCTCTCGCACTGATGTTGGGGTGCAAACTTGCACCCCACTTTGGAGAGCAATTTGATAACATCTAAGAGCCATAGTGTATACATATCCTACTACCTAAAATTCCATTTTTAGGCATATGTCCAGACTATCTAGCACGTCTGATGAGGTGACATGATCAAGAATGTACACTGTAGCACTGTTCAAAAATGGCAAAAAAAAAAAAAGAATAATAATTGAAACAACCATTAGTGGGGGAATTGCCAAGTAAATTGATACTAAGCAGCATATTGTGTTAAATGAAAAAGTAAGCTACAAAAGATTATATACAGTAGGATATCATGAATATAAATTTTTTAAAAATTACTATATTTTGTTTATGGATACAAACACATGGTAAAATATAAAATAGTTAGGAGTTGCACCAACTTCAGAACAGTGGGTTAGCTCCAGGGAGGGAAGGAGGAGAATGGCGCCAGGATAGAGTACAAAAGAGTAACATTTTATTTCTTTAAAAATCAGAAGCAATTATGGCAAAATAGTATGTGAAGAGTACAAGGGCATTTATATTATTACTGTTCTGTATATTTGAAATATTTCGTAATTAAAAAGAATTTTAATGGGAACATATGGTATAACAATCAAATAATAACATTAATTATTCACACCACAAAATGTACCAATAACATATTATTTAAGCCACAGAATTTATGTACATACATTAGAGCACGTGATAAATAAAAGAGTCAAAAATAAATTTTAAAATTTGCAATCTCTTTTGGGTGGTTTTAAATTAATAATTTTGCTAACGGGCTTTGAATCTCATGCAATTTTTAACTGTCCTTATATTAAAATTTTAAGGGCTGCTATCCTTTTTGTTACAGTTGTCAAAGCTATATAAATAAAACTTTAATTAATGTGGTATTCTAAATTTCAGTCTTATTTTGGAAAGCTTTTTCTTTAGCATATAAACAGTAACAAGCTTTACAATTATACTTACAAATTTTAGAGAAATGTATTCAGTCCTAAGTTACGAAGAGTAGTTACAACTATAATATAATATAGTTATAGTTATAATTATAACTACTTAATTATAGTGTTTCACCAAGAACCTGATGCCCTAATACTAATGTGGAAAAACAATGCTCCAATATTCCCTTTTCTTTTCTACTTGGGGTCTGGGTCAGAAGCCAAGAAATACCAATACTGGAAAGGTTATAAACAAAGTCTTATTATAAAACTATTTTTAAAGGAAAAGTGTATAACTTTCATAGGGGAGCAACACAATCCTTTGGGATTACTATACCAGAGAGAGACATAGATAAAAGAACATTTTAAGAAAGGGGTTAACAAGAGGTAGTAAAATTTTGCTATCTGTACTTCACTTACTCTTTGAGCTTCAAGGCTAGAAGATAATAAATACTACACAGAAAAATGCAGGAGGGAGACAAAACTGGGTAGGACAATGTATCTACAAATACAACTCTAGAGATCTATGACCCATACACAATACCTCACTCTCAGCTACAATCCTCTGACCACATTCGTACTATTTTAATAACAGTCATTTTACCCAGTTGATGGTAAGCAGTAATTTTATTTGACATGAGTTGCTTTTTGCCAGTTAAACATTTGCAACACAGATGATTAGCTGATCTTTCAGGTAACCTCGCTATTAGATACGCTGTTTCCCATGAAATGGAAGACTGCGATGAAATTATTGCAAGTTCCAAATTTCCACCCTTTTATATTTTGAGCCCATTTTTTTAAATTTCAGAATATTAGCGGGGTACAAATTTTTTGGTTACATGAATTACTTTTGTAATGGGTCCAATTTTTAAGGGTAATAGTGCTGTGGCAAAAAGGTAGGCTTTCATCTACTCCACTGCAGCTTGTTATATAGAATTTTACTTAGTGTTAAAATCCTTAACTTTCACTTCCAAAGGCTGAAAAAAATTTGCTCCCCTAAATCCCTTATTTAGTGTAACTTTGCCTAGTAAGAACAGCAAAAATTTGTTTACAAAATTGAAAGCTTCCTATAATATTTTTAAATGTTTTGTTTTTTCTACCAATCTTTAAGTTTCAATAATGTTCATTTATTTCTTCCCTCTTAACAGAGGAATAACTACCATTCTGCTTATAAATAAAATAATTAAATTATTATTTCTTTCAAATTCTCACCCTTGGGAGACTCAAACTCAATAATAAATTCATTGACAAGTTTACAATGTAAATTTCACTACTACATAGAAATAATTCTTCCACAAGCAAAAGGTCAGTGTTATGAATTTAATTTTCTGAATTTCACAACCCTTGATAAATGGAGGCACCCTTAAAGTTCAGTTTTTACTCTTTTATACAGGATTTCAGAGCATGCTTCAAATAGCTTAAGATAAGCCATATTAATAACTTAGTATCATTTTATCATTAAAATAATCTATAATCAGAATACTACTAATTTTATTGTCATAACTAATAAAGTCTTAAAATATCTGTAGATGTAAATCACCTCTCTCAATTCATTTTGCTTCACCTGGACTGTTCTAGAACATAGATCAACAAACTGAATGGGTTTATCAGTATAATATAGTTGTACAATGTTTTCACAAATTCCAATTCTGTAATTTGGGATTTTTTTCATATTTATTTTTAAATATACAAAGAGATTAAACCATTAATATAAATATTTTCTCTCAAATATGTAATATTCTTTTGTAAAAGAAAAGGTTTCTAAACATTTACAAAGCAATCTAAAGATAAGTAAACCTGATTTCAGAATTATTATTATATTAACCAAAATAATTTTCCAGAAAAGGTCCTCTGTAAAGGTAACGGTCACTGGCTTCCACACATCACCACTTTAAGATTGATCCAAACCAATGCCTTTGTTTGATTTACTTCAGGAATCACTTCCAGTGAAAAAAATCTCAGAAAAAGGTCTCACGACAGAGTGGACAAGTGGATTTGTTGCTAGATGTAAACCATTTGTACTGAAAAAGAAAAGGTTTTAAATGTTAAAGGAACTTTTTGAAGCTGTCATCTCACATATATACATCTAAAGTAACCTTCAAGTGATAAAATGAAAAGGGAAGAATGCTAACATTTTTATTTCCAAAATCAGCACAACTGAGTATTACTTGCAAAGGCTACACGAAGATTCTTTCTACCTAGGCTCGTGCACACACCACTAAGATATGAGGAAGATCTCCTGCAAAGCAACTGAACATAGGGCAACCTCCTTTTCAATGTGATGTTTAAAAAGAGCACAGGGCTCTGATGTCAGATGGCCTCCGATTCCAATTCTTGTTCTCTCCTCAATGGTCTGGATCTCACAAGATCATTTATTTCTTGTGTGTTGACAGCTGTATTAGAAACACCCCTTTATTAAAGTACTTTGATGCCACCACAGCCTCAGTAAATTAGTAATTATCTTTTGCAGATTTTGAAAAATTACTTTTTAATATATTTCCCATTAACTACAATTAAAGTTTAATATACATTGTTTTCCCCCAAAGTTACTTTTTAATTTATACACACATATATACATATACATATATACACACGCACACACATATATATGTGTGTATATATATAGTTAAGTTCATTTCTCTTTACACTTACCAAGCACGCTGAATGGAACTTTTTCTTACATGTTCTACAGGCTTTTTTGGGAAGAGAATAGTTGAAACCATGAATGACTGAGAAACAGATCATACAATCTTCAACACCCTCAAAACGTTTGTCTACATTATTTTTCCATAATGCTAAGCCTTCCATTATACTTCCATTCTGTTAACAAGAAGGAAAAATAAGGGTCACTGTACATTGAAGACCACCAATGTTATTTGTGTTCAATTTCACAAATTTTAAAGTTGAATTATAATTCTGAAAGAAGAGAAACTGCTTGGCCACATTCACATTCCCAAGTTTCATAAATGCTAGTTTTTTGAAAAACCTCCCAAATTTTAAGTCACATATAATTTTTCTCCATTAAAGATAGACTTTGAAGGCTTTTGAACCAATACTTCAAGTCTTATAGTGTCAGCTTGTTGTATGATAAAACTTTTAATAATTAAATCATTTAGATCAGTTCTCCTGATTTTTAACTAAAAATGATAAAATTATCTCACCTTCTCAACTGATTTTTTTCCAGTTCTACAATATTGGTGAACATATTTGTTTTAAAATAATTTCTTTACGGTAGATTGTCTAAGATACATCACAGTATGCAAACAGAACTGAAGACCTATAATTTGATTAAAAGTCAAAGGTCTTTGAGAGTAGTAGGATTTCTCTAACCAAAGGAGAGTTGAAATCAAAGAATAAAAGTAGCTCAGAAAGAATTCATCTGTCTAGTATCTTTCAAAAGATTCTCTTCAAATTATTTAATATCATGTATGGTCTTACATCTTCTACAATATCAATGAAAAAAAGTCAATCCCTCTCAAACACTAGAAAATAAATCCCAAAGCCTTAAAAATTAAAACAGATATAGCAGTTTCAAACCGTTTATCCAAGGAAATTTAATATCTATTTTTATCTTAGGCAGAAGAGATGTATTTTGTGTTTAACTGTCCTTTAAAACAGATGATCTCTTTCTAGTTTGGAAAGCCAAATGTGTAAGTGGAAACTTGCCTGATGGGTGAGGTAAGTGCTTAACTGCAGCATCCAGTTCCGCCACTGCTGAACAGCCACCCCAACTCTTTTCCCACTTTCCACCGTTATTGAACCCAGTGGGTAATTCGAAGGCAGTTGTATAATAAGTTCAATGACTATGTCCTCAATTGTATAAGTAGCCATTACTTCTCGAGTAGTAGCTCGAGCTTTAACCTGTAACACAAGAAAGATAACTTTTTTTGCCAAATTCCTTTCATTCACTCGAAAAACATTTTGACAGGTTGACTATTAGCAGTTAAAGTCTTCATTTAAGGAAAATGCAGACAAACAAATTTATTTATCTGATGTGAGATATTCAATAAATAGGTTTAAATAAAACCTGGCATGTTTATTAGTGATTTTATGACATACAAAGTTTATTTTAAAAGAAATGCATTGCTCATAAAAAAGTATGTTTTATTAAATTAGGCTTACAACATAATAAATAGTTCTTGAGTAGACAAATGACAGAATGGGTTATTAATTATCCCTTCTCTTCCACACCCAGAGAATCAAATATCACTTCTATGTCTACCAAATCTTTCTCTATCACATTATTCTCCTGAGCTTTGGAACCAACCATCAACTGCCAAAACATTTATACCTGATTTTTTTGAATTTTCATACTAGCACTGCAAACTCAACATAAAACACACATTATCATCCTTTACAAACTTAATCTTACTTTCCTATTTCCAAGCTAAAAACCATAGCATAATCTGAAATTTCTTCTTCTACCTCAACCTAGATATTAACTAGTTGTAAGTTTAGCTAAATTACCACCACAAAATCTCTCACATCCCTTCGCTTTTATGTTTCCACTGATACTGCCTCACTCAGGCCCTATATCTTTGCTTCCCAACTATTTGTTTGAATCCAAGCTCTATGCTAACAACTCATGCTATCTATATATTGCGGTCAGAGCAATTTCACAGATTATAACTCTGACCATGCTATTGCATGAATGGAAAGTCTCCAGTGGTTAAATAGAACTAAATACTTTAGATTGTTATTTGAAGGCTTTCCTAATAAATTTCTGATCCAATGTTGGCAAGCAGTCTGCTCTCTATTTACCTTTGGGAACCCTATTCTATATGAATACTGGGTTATTCATCATTACTTGGGCAATCACAGAAATGACATTCTCATCTCCATGCTTTTAGCTCTTGCCATACTATTTTTTCTGTGTTAAATGCCTTTGTCTTCATTTTCCCCATAACAAAATCCTACCCACCTTAAATTAATCTTCCTCCATAAAGTCTCACCTAATCCCCTCAGCCAGATGAGCCTTACCTTTCCCACTCGGATCACAGAGCACTCTTTCTCTTAATGTGCCACTTTCTACTTTCCAACGCAAAAATCATTATCAGTATCACTCTTTTCCCTTTATTAGATTTTATCTTATTACAAGACAGGAATCCAACCCTACTAAAGTGTTCATTTCCCAGGTGATTGATACACAGTGCTTGGCGTCTAAGTATTCCGATATATATTTTGAATGAACTAATGAATGCTCAAAAACTCTTTGGTTGGTAAATGAAATTATATTACCATTTCAATCCACACATAAAATAATGTTGAGATTTGATACACAAGAATCAGAAAATAAGGTGGACAATTTCTATAAATTCTGAATCAAAGACCACAGTTTTATTACAATTCACAATGACAGACATAACCGATATTCAAACAACTTTTCTAGACAAAGCCAAGACAATACTAACCGTCATGCCATTAAATAGTTGCGTACTTGTTTGCACAGAAGATATTTCTTGGAAAGAAAGAACATTGCTGACATACTTGCTTGTGAATCTATCTACAATATTGAAAACACGCTTCTCACTGCTATTCCACCACAGCCTAACCATGGCAGGCAAGTCTTTTAATGTCATGTGATAGACTGAACAAGCCAAGTGTGGAATATGGTGTGGCAGAGTTGCTGTTTCTGAGGAAAAAACAAATTCTTGGTTAATAACACGTATTTCTTACATAGAATAATAATGGACTAATAATAGACTTTCTAATTTTCCTTAGAAAGGCATCTTTAATTCCTCAACAATAGTGCCATAGCTCATAAAACAAACATAGCAGAGAAACCTGAACACTGGAGTATTAGCATCCTCCCATACATTCAAAATGAACCATAAGAACAGCAAAAAGAAGTAAAAAAAAGTAAAAATCCCGATTGACACTGAAAAAATCTGCCTAGAAATAGCACTGTATATTTCACATGAAAAACTACAAATAAAATGTAACACATATTTACAAAAAGATTCTCCGTGTTACAAATTATGAAAAGAAGTTTGGTCTCCTTTACCTTCTCCAGAGCTCGCTGAGCTGCTGTGTAAAAGTCCTAGAATACCCACCTCAATACTCACAAGATGCAGTCCATTCTCAGATCTTCAAGGCATTTAAAAAATTCCTATTCTTAGTAAATTGTTTATATTGTTATAGTACAGCTTGATGCATGTACGTCTACCCTCTCAGCTCAAATTTGAGCTCTAAGAGTGAAGGAAATAAATTTTATTCATCTTTGTTTCCCCAACTGAAGGCTACTTATTTACATGCCTACAAAACGTTATCATATGACAAATATTTGTTTACAGACTAAAAGATAATAGTCTCAACATGCTAAGCTTCAAAAATGTATTAAATTCTTCACAACCTTATCCATAAGATCTAATTATCTATTCTATTTCGAGAAATATGAAAAATCTTGCATTTCAACATTCTCAAAGCCAGGACCCATGGTTTGGTATTATTCTCCATAGCCCTAGCAAAGAGTTTAATACAACCTAGTATGAACCTAGTCTTTAAGACAGAACGCAAACACGTATCTTACTGACCTCTAATACTCAGCTGGAGTTCCTCAGTAAAGAATGTTTTAGGGTCCTTATTTGAGAGCTCAATAGCTGTCTCTGAATAGGTTGGGTTTTCTGGCATGAGCCTGAACAGGTGATAAAGCAACTTATTCAAACTCTTTGTTTTCCGAAGGTACATCGAATACAGAGCCCGAAGCTGGTAGAGGGCAAAGAATTTGTTAGTAAACTAAACTAAAACCAAGACAATCAGAAGAAAAGAACAAATCAAAGTATAATAGATTTCCTTTCCTCACAAACTAGCAGATGTTCTCACTATCCCTTCATTATTAGACATTCATTTCTTAACATCTTTCTCAAATTGTCCCTGTTGATACACTCACCTTACCTTGGAGTCTCTCTTTGAGCCAAGAAAATCTATTCACCATTCCCACAGATGACTTGCTTACTCTCCTCCCAAGTCTTCCACACATTCTTTCCACACCATAGTCCTTAATCTTTCAAATTCCTCCATAAAACTACTCCCATTCTTATGGCTGACCTCACCCTCTATCAAACACTCCAGCATCCCTTTGGGATAGATGACCCAAACGAGTAGTCCAATATGTCTTGGGGTCTTCTCACAGTTGTTTTATCAATCACAAAATTTCACATAAAAATATGGAATTCTGGTTTCTATTTTAAAAATAGGAAAATCTGGCACCACTGGGAGCACTATAGGCATCTGTGTGAGACCTGTGCTTTTCAACGCCTCCTCATCCTTCAATAATGTAATTTTTTGCATTTTTCACATTTACTTTGTAGTTCTTTGGTATTTTTATTTGTTTTAACATGATTTCTTCCACTATACCACATGTCTCCTTATAGTATAGACACCATTTTCTGAACACTGTGAATACTCAAATACAAGGATCAAGCCATAGGATTTGGGATTCTTAAAATATGTTGACAGAATACCTTTACAGTGGAGCAATCTTGGGGGCACTACCTTTATTGAGTAGTCAAACTTAACATCACCAATATAAGCAGAGCATCCCAAATCCAAAAATCTGAAATTTCATGCTCCAAAATCTGAAAGTTTTTGAGCACCGGCATGACATTCAAAGGAAATGCTCACTGGAGGATTTCAGATTTTGGATGCTCAATCTG